AGGAACAGCAGCAGATATCCCAAAAAGTAAACAAAAATAAAAGTCTAATCTCTTGAAAACCGGTGAATATTTTTCGATAAAATTTGGTAGATATTCGTTTTCGCCCTTTCTGAACCTAGCGACATCACTTTCATGCCAATTCATTAACCCTCGCATGTGTAGGGGGGGGTCGGATGGACCCCCCATGGTTTTTCGCGAATAACTCGCGTAAAAAGCGGCCGATCGCGACGAAACTTTCAGTACCCTCGCATTGATCAATTTTACACCTACCCTGAAAATTTCATGACCCTGACCCAAATGACCTTTGACCTGTGACCTCTTTTCCGAGACCATGTTTGACCGGAATCGCGATTTCGCGTATGTCGGCTCGCACTAGCCGCGTGTTTGCAAGCTTTTCGTGGTTTCAAACGTTCAAACATGTGATTTGATGTTACTCCCGTGTGTGTCAAGGTCACCTGAAGGTCAGGTCATGTCATTGACCTTTGGTGACCTCAGGTGACCTCGGTTCACTTTTTCGAGTTTTATATGTTTCTAGGCTAGTTTTTGGAGCTGAATTCGAATTTAGCAACCATTTGAACATTTACGAAGTAGTTTTGGTGACTTCGTAACATGTTACGAAGCTGTCAGAGGCGGTTGACACGTACTACGAATACCCGTCACGACGCCTACTGGTTGACCTGACCTGACCTGACCCGACCTGGTCTAAATGCTTCAAGACATCATCTGTGATCAAAACTAACACGATATTCGTGATCAGCACCCCGAAAAACCCCTTAGCAGCCACACTTTACGACTTTCTAACACGTCCCGATTTTCCCGACTTTGGGTCATTGACCTGACCTGGAAGGTCAACCAATGACCTAGGACCTTAAAATTGGGTATCATCGGCTTCCTCTCGTCACGGGCAACACGCTCGTTTTTTCCGCGAAGCTCTAGCTCGATCAGGGGCCAAACGGCAAGGGGGGGGGTCCAACCGACCCCCCCCCCCTACACATTAGAAGCTGGCAAACGCCGCACACATGCGAGGGTTAACTTTTTTGAAGGTGGGAGGGTCTCTTTAACCCGCTTCGAGTCAGTGCTTGGGTCCCTTTGCGGGCCGGAGGTGGTAAAACAGCCCTGTCTAACTCGGCTCCTGGGCCACGCCCTGATTGAACTATGTTTCATTATCGTTTGGGGGAGGGGGAAGACGGGCCACTTTAGGCCTCTGGGAAGGGGGCATGGCCCTAAATGCCCCCTCCCTGGATCCGCCAGTGTAAAAGAGACCATTGGAGCTGCAGTTGGGTACCTCAGACATCAGGGTACGCCCTCAGATGTATGTATAGGACTCGCATGGAGACCTCTTATGCTATAGTGTACTGAAAGGACCCAAAGGAGCCTGTCTATATGGGCTCCCGGAGATAGACGTGGGCCCTCAGGAGCCCGCCAGAGCCCCAATGAGGGATAAGTGAGGGATACCAAGTGCCTGCAATTGCATATTGCATAAGCCATAACGCCTTTACAAATCAATATATTATGCATCAGTGGCAGATCCAAGGGGGGCCACATGGGTCATGACCCCCTTGGTGCCCGGGGGCACCACAGGCCTGTCAGGGGCACCACCGGCCTAGTAGGGGCACCACCAGCCCGCCAGGGGCACCACCAGCCCGCCAGGGGCACCACATGCCTAGCAAGGGCACCACGGGCCTGTGAGGGGCCCCACAGGCTTGTCAGGGGCACCCCAGGTCTGTCAGGGACACCAGAGACCTGCCAGGGGCGCCGCCGGCCTCGCAGGGGCACCATGGGCCTGTCAGGGACACCAGAGGCCTAGCAGGGGTACCACAGGCCTTACAGGGGCACCACCGGCCTTGCAGGGGCACCTTGGGCCTGTCAGGGGCACCACAGTCCTGTCAGGGCCCAGGGGCACCAGCGGCCTAGCAGGGGCACCACAGGCCTGCCAGGGGCACCACCGGTCTAGAAGGGGCACCATGGGCCTTTCAGGGGCCCACCGGCCTCGCAGGGGGCACCACCGGCCTCGCAGGCATCACGGCATCACGCAGGGGCACCTTGGGCCTGTCGGGGGCATCACGGGCCTGTTGGGGGCACTTTAGGCTTGTCAGGGGCACCACAGTCCTGTCAGGTCCCAGGGGCATCAGCAGCCTAGCAGGGGCACCCTAGGCCCGCCAGAGGTACATACAGCCCACCGCTAAAGTAATGTAGGGTTTTACCAAACTCAACGGTTGACTTTTGACTGGCGATTGTTTAATGCGAAGTGATTGAAAAGAAGATGTCAATAGCTAAAGTTGCAGCTGCAAGGGTGACGATACATATAAGCTACATTCAAAGTTTCATTGTAGTCTGGCTAATCGTTCCTAAGCTTCAGAAGCAGAACATACCCATGACTGAAACCCCACATTACTTCTGCTGTGGACTGTACCACAGACCTGCCAGCGTCCAGGGGCACCACAGGCCTAGCAAGGGCACCACGGGCCTGTCAGGGGCACCTCAGGCTCCCGTGCCCCCCCCCCCCCTCCCCCCAGATCCGCCAGTGATGCCACACCACGCGAAACACCGCCAACTACCAACTGCCGCGCCATAAACACGTGCCAACAACAGTCTTTTTTTTAAGGTCGACTCCGCTCGCGCAACTTTTGACTGACCCTCACTGCTACTATATTGCTTCCATATTATGCTGTGGAAAGCTTTACTTCACCAAGTGGCTAAAAACCTCCATCAAGGCATATTTTCTTAGCAATTTTTCTGGCGTTTTTTTTTTGGGGGGGGGGGCAAACAGGCCACTTTAGGCCTTTGGGGGGGGGGGGGGGGCATGGCCCCCGTGGCCCCCCCCCTGGATCCGCCAGTGCCCGCTTGCACGTGCGCACGTGCAGAATCAAGAATGCCGCTTCCAGATCTCAGGAACGGCTGGGCCGATTGCGTTCAAATTTGGCACACCGCTAGCGACCGGTTAGAACGGTGCTTTGCACAAGCCCGTTGGAAGTACCCTCTCGCCCTTGCGCCCGTGCAGGGCTCACTATCTCGCTCGTTCGTTCTTCGCCCAAAAAGCGTTTTACTGGTACTTGTACTAAGTACTGCTTAACCCTCGCATGTGTGCGGCGTTTGCCAGCGTCTAACGTGTTTCGGTTGGACCCCCTGCCGTTCGGCCCGTGATTAGCCTAGAGCCTCGTGGAAAAAATGGGCGTGTTGCCCGTGACGAGAGGAAGGCGATGATACCCAACTTTAAGGTCCTAAGTCATTGGTCGACCTTCCAAATCAGGTCAATGACCCCAAAGTCGGGAAAATCGGGACCTGCTGGAGCTTCGTAAAGGGAAGCTGTTATGGAGTTTTTCGGGGCGCTGATCACGAATATCATGTTAGTTTTGATCACAGATGATGTCTTTATGCATTTAGGCCAGGTCGGGTCAGGTCAGGTCAGGTCTACCAGTAGGGGTCGTGACGGGTATTCGTAGTACCTACGTGTCAACTACCACTAACGGCGTCGTAACATGTTACGAAGGCACTAACACTATTTTATAAATGTTCAAATGGATGCTTAATTCGAAATCAGCCCGAAAACTGCCCTAGAAACATGTAAAACTCGAAAAAGTGATCCGAGGTTATCAAAGGTCAGTGACCTGACCTGACGTTCAGGTGACCTTGACACCCACCGTAATGCGTGTGACGAACATCATTTCACATGTTCGGATGTTTATAATCACAAAAAAAAGACTGGAAACGCACGGATAATGTGAGCTGACATACCTACGCAGAATCGCGATTCCGGAATAACCTCTTAGAAGGTATGTCTTGCAAATTTCCTCAATTTTCCCATTTTTATCTATCTTGAACATCAAAATACGATGCAGAACTGGGTTCAGCGCACAAAACTACCTCAGGAAACATCATTTTGACCCGTTCGGTCGTTCGGTTGATTTATTGGCGGTTTTGAGGGCCATCTGGCCCTGTGTGGAGCAGGGGGGGGGGGCGGGCCCTGAGGCCCCCCCCCCTTGGATGCGCCACTTTAGCCGCCAGGCGCCGGGCCGGGCCCTGGACGGTTGTCGGATCTGGTATCGGCCGCCTGGCGAGTAGGCAGCTCCCGCTGCACTGGAGCCGCACCGGCGCGGCGGAATGCTGCCGGCCTTCGGGAGACGGCGCACACCGCACCGTGGGCACTTTGGCGATCCTAGCGCGACATAAGTGGCAAATACGAGTATTTTGATTTTCACTTTCTTTAGATACTTTTCTACGCAGAATTGTCCAGTGTATCCGAATCTGACCTTAAATCGCTTTAAAAATGATGAGTTATACATCAGAATATGCCACAAAATGAAGGGTTGCGCTGACTAGCACCGTGTTCCTAGGATAAGGCGAAAAATTACATGACAACGGAACGCCTGCTCGCTCGTTTAACCCTATTCCTGGCGGGGGGGGGGGCCTCAGGAGCCCCCCTGAGGTTTTTTGGTTATATCTCCCAAACGCTTTGAGCTAAGAAGCTCAAATTTTCTGACTTTTTCTAAAAGGCTTTTACGCAACATTTCTGAAAATTTTGAGTTGATCTGACCTCAGGTCAGGTCACCAGAGGCGGTTTGGTGACCATACCTCAGAAAAGTTTGCAATCACGCCAGAGCTAGAGTTTTTGACCGATCAATTTCTTCTTTTCAGGCTTTAGTTAGGGTACCATTATGTGCAATTTGTATATCTCAGAATTTTCATATCTGTGACCTGAGGTCAGGCCAGCCTCGTGACCTTTACATTGCAAGCCTATGGGAAAATATTGAAACGCCTCCTGCTTCGTGTAAACGAGTCAAAACCACCCAGTTCTTTCAGTATTACGGAAGATTATCTCATCGGTGATGATCCTGGTGCCGCTAATTGACAGGGGTACCGGTAAAGGTCATCTGAGGTCATGTGACGTCATAAATCGTTTTTCTGTCAATAAATCACGACATGATGGTGCTAAAGACTTGTGAGTGGTACCAAACTGCTCGCCTGGTCAAGGCGCGTCGTTTGTGTGGGGCGGCGTTTGCGTGGGTGCTGTGCGCCGACGCCGCCCGGGTGTAGCGCCCCTCCCGGCGCGCGGCTGGACGCGCCTCTGCGCCATGCCTCTGACTGGGCGCGCCGCTGCGACCGGTGCGGCGGCGAAGGTCGAGGCTGCGGCCCGAGGGGTCAGACGTGTGAGAGGTCGAGGACTGGAGGGTCGCCGCTCGCGCGTGCTGAGTGGACACGAATACACGAAGGACTGAGACGCTGCCTCTCAACTAACATTGGCGCGGTCAAGGTAAGCCTTTTCGCTCCTTATTTAAATGAATATGCACTGGTTAGCGTGATCGTTTATACGACACAATCGCCTCTTATATCGATTGCCGATATTGCTATTTGGGTGATTCCGACCTGAAATTTATCGGGGTGTGGTCGTTTCCGATTAGCTTCTTGATAAATACCAGGTCGTTTACAATATTCACAATACGCATTGAAACCGGCTATTTTTCTCTGCCGTACATACTTGTAGACATTATAGATAATCATAAGGTGATCGTTTAGCGACACCACACTGAGAATAAAATGATTCTGTCTAAATCCTAGTCAGTAGCAACTGAAATGGCTAGTGAACTGTATATGAAGGTTCACAACACAAAACAAATTAGCGGTCTGAAAGATGAAAATTGGGAAACATGGATATTTCGTTTTGAAACCCGCTTTAGTGAGCTGGACGAGACAAGCCTAGCCACTGTGCTGCTCGATGTATTAGACGGCACTGCCCTCGACGTTTGCGGAAAATTAGGGAGGGATGAGAGGAAAAGTTACAAAATCCTCAAGGGTGCGTTGCAAAGGAAATTTGGAGCCAACGTCGATCCACGACGCGCGAATGCAGAGCTCCGTCAGGTACGTCAACAACCGGGAGAAAGCACGGAGGCGTTTGCAGATCGCGTTCGAAAGCTTACAAATATAGGAAATCCGGGACTGTCCAGTGCTCATCTCGACCAGACAGCCTTAGAACATTTCTTGTGCGGCCTCAGTGACCTGAAACTGCAAGAAAAGCTGCACAACGAATGTAACGGAAGTTGGCACAGATTCAGCACAGATTCAGCACAGCACAGATTCGGTAGGGGAAAAAAGGCCCCGGTAGAGGGAAACCTTTATGACCCGTTTTCCCCTAGAAATGACGTCACAAAGAGGTAAAAATGGGTATCAATCGAAAGCTCTCGTTTACCCAGACACAGTCCTGCAGGAAAATTTCACTTTTTCCCCATAGGAAAGTTTGTACGGGAAAATCAAAATTTTGGGTCAATGGGGGGTCCCCCCGATTTCGTTCAAAATCGGCACACAGGTGCTCCACCACCAGCCGAGAAACTTTCCCCAAAACGGTCCCCGTTGCATTGACGTTTAAGGCCCGTAAAGCCCCCTAGACTCGTAAAATATCCGTAAAATCGCCTTTGTACGGACAAAAAAGTGGTGCTATGGTAAAAATGGGTATCAATCGAAAGCTCTCGTTTACCCAGACACAGTCCTGCAGGAAAATTTCACTTTTTCCCCATAGGAAAGTTTGTACGGGAAAATCAAAATTTTGGGTCAATGGGGGGTCCCCCCGATTTCGTTCAAAATCGGCACACAGGTGCCCCACCACCAGCCGAGAAACTTTCCCCAAAACGGTCCCCGTTGCATTGACGTTTAAGGCCCGTAAAGCCCCCTAGACTCGTAAAATATCCGTAAAATCGCCTTTGTACGGACAAAAAAGTGGTGCTATGTTAAAAATGGGTATCAATCGAAAGCTCTCGTTTACCCAGACACAGTCCTGCAGGAAAATTCCACTTTTTCCCCATAGGAAAGTTTGTACGGGAAAATCAAAATTTTGGGTCAATGGGGGGTCCCCCCGATTTCGTTCAAAATCGGCACACAGGTGCCCCACCACCAGCCGAGAAACTTTCCCCAAAACGGTCCCCGTTGCATTGACGTTTAAGGCCCGTAAAGCCCCCTAGACTCGTAAAATATCCGTAAAATCGCCTTTGTACGGACAAAAAAGTGGTGCTATGGTAAAAATGGGTATCAATCGAAAGCTCTCGTTTACCCAGACACAGTCCTGCAGGAAAATTCCACTTTTTCCCCATAGGAAAGTTTGTACGGAAAAATCAAAATTTTGGGTCAATGGGGGGTCCCCCCCCCCGATTTCGTTCAAAATCGGCACACAGGTGCCCCACCACCAGCCGAGAAACTTTCCTCAAAACGGTCCCCGTTGCATTGACGTTTAAGGCCCGTAAAGCCCCCTAGACTCGTAAAATATCCGTAAAATCGCCTTTGTACGGACAAAAAAGTGGTGCTATGGTAAAAATGGGTATCAATCGAAAGCTCTCGTTTACCCAGACACAGTCCTGCAGGAAAATTCCACTTTTTCTCCATAGGAAAGTTTGTACGGGAAAATCAAAATTTTGGGTCAATGGGGGGTCCCCCCCGATTTCGTTCAAAATCGGCACACAGGTGCCCCACCACCAGCCGAGAAACTTTCCCCAAAACGGTCCCCGTTGCATTGACGTTTAAGGCCCGTAAAGCCCCCTAGACTCGTAAAATATCCGTAAAATCGCCTTTGTACGGACAAAAAAGTGGTGCTATGGTAAAAATGGGTATCAATCGAAAGCTCTCGTTTACCCAGACACAGTCCTGCAGGAAAATTCCACTTTTTCCCCATAGGAAAGTTTGTACGGGAAAATCAAAATTTTGGGTCAATGGGGGGTCCCCCCGATTTCGTTCAAAATCGGCACACAGGTGCCCCACCACCAGCCGAGAAACTTTCCCCAAAACGGTCCCCGTTGCATTGACGTTTAAGGCCCGTAAAGCCCCCTAGACTCGTAAAATATCCGTAAAATCGCCTTTGTACGGACAAAAAAGTGGTGCTATGTTAAAAATGGGTATCAATCGAAAGCTCTCGTTTACCCAGACACAGTCCTGCAGGAAAATTCCACTTTTTCCCCATAGGAAAGTTTGTACGGGAAAATCAAAATTTTGGGTCAATGGGGGGTCCCCCCGATTTCGTTCAAAATCGGCACACAGGTGCCCCACCACCAGCCGAGAAACTTTCCCCAAAACGGTCCCCGTTGCATTGACGTTTAAGGCCCGTAAAGCCCCCTAGACTCGTAAAATATCCGTAAAATCGCCTTTGTACGGACAAAAAAGTGGTGCTATGGTAAAAATGGGTATCAATCGAAAGCTCTCGTTTACCCAGACACAGTCCTGCAGGAAAATTCCACTTTTTCCCCATAGGAAAGTTTGTACGGGAAAATCAAAATTTTGGGTCAATGGGGGGTCCCCCCCGATTTCGTTCAAAATCGGCACACAGGTGCCCCACCACCAGCCGAGAAACTTTCCCCAAAACGGTCCCCGTTGCATTGACGTTTAAGGCCCGTAAAGCCCCCTAGACTCGTAAAATATCCGTAAAATCGCCTTTGTACGGACAAAAAAGTGGTGCTATGGTAAAAATGGGTATCAATCGAAAGCTCTCGTTTACCCAGACACAGTCCTGCAGGAAAATTCCACTTTTTCCCCATAGGAAAGTTCATGTACGGGAAAATCAAAATTTTGGGTCAATGGGGGGTCCCCCCCGATTTCGTTCAAAATCGGCACACAGGTGCCCCACCACCAGCCGAGAAACTTTCCCCAAAACGGTCCCCGTTGCATTGACGTTTAAGGCCCGTAAAGCCCCCTAGACTCGTAAAATATCCGTAAAATCGCCTTTGTACGGACAAAAAAGTGGTGCTATGGTAAAAATGGGTATCAATCGAAAGCTCTCGTTTACCCAGACACAGTCCTGCAGGAAAATTTCACTTTTTCCCCATAGGAAAGTTTGTACGGGAAAATCAAATTGAACGAAATCGGAGGGGACCCCCCATTGACCCAAAATTTTGATTTTCCCGTACAAACTTTCCTATGGGGAAAAGTGAAATTTTCCTGCAGGACTGTGTCTGGGTAAACGAGAGCTTTCGATTGATACCCATTTTTACCATAGCACCACTTTTTTGTCCGTACAAAGGCGATTTTACGGATATTTTACGAGTCTAGGGGGCTTTACGGGCCCTAAACGTCAATGCAACGGGGACCGTTTTGGGGAAAGTTTCTCGGCTGGTGGTGGGGCACCTGTGTGCCGATTTTGAACGAAATCGGGGGGGACCCCCCATTGACCCAAAATTTTGATTTTCCCGTACAAACTTTCCTATGGGGAAAAAGTGGAATTTTCCTGCAGGACTGTGTCTAGGTAAACGAGAGCTTTCGATTGATACCCATTTTTACCATAGCACCACTTTTTTGTCCGTACAAAGGCGATTTTACGGATATTTTACGAGTCTAGGGGGCTTTACGGGCCTTAAACGTCAATGCAACGGGGACCGTTTTGGGGAAAGTTTCTCGGCTGGTGGTGGGGCACCTGTGTGCCGATTTTGAACGAAATCGGGGGGGACCCCCCATTGACCCAAAATTTTGATTTTCCCGTACAAACTTTCCCATGGGGAAAAAGTGGAATTTTCCTGCAGGACTGTGTCTGGGTAAACGAGAGCTTTCGATTGATACCCATTTTTAACATAGCACCACTTTTTTGTCCGTACAAAGGCGATTTTACGGATATTTTACGAGTCTAGGGGGCTTTACGGGCCTTAAACGTCAATGCAACGGGGACCGTTTTGGGGAAAGTTTCTCGGCTGGTGGTGGGGCACCTGTGTGCCGATTTTGAACGAAATCGGGGGGACCCCCCATTGACCCAAAATTTTGATTTTCCCGTACAAACTTTCCTATGGGGAAAAAGTGGAATTTTCCTGCAGGACTGTGTCTGGGTAAACGAGAGCTTTCGATTGATACCCATTTTTACCATAGCACCACTTTTTTGTCCGTACAAAGGCGATTTTACGGATATTTTACGAGTCTAGGGGGCTTTACGGGCCTTAAACGTCAATGCAACGGGGACCGTTTTGGGGAAAGTTTCTCGGCTGGTGGTGGGGCACCTGTGTGCCGATTTTGAACGAAATCGGGGGGGACCCCCCATTCACCCAAAATTTTGATTTTCCCGTACAAACTTTCCTATGGGGAAAAAGTGGAATTTTCCTGCAGGACTGTGTCTGGGTAAACGAGAGCTTTCGATTGATACCCATTTTTACCATAGCACCACTTTTTTGTCCGTACAAAGGCGATTTTACGGATATTTTACGAGTCTAGGGGGCTTTACGGGCCTTAAACGTCAATGCAACGGGACCGTTTTGGGGAAAGTTTCTCGGCTGGTGGTGGGGCACCTGTGTGCCGATT